ATAATATAATCTCTTCTTTTCGTTTTCGTTCAAATATCGGTAAAACTGTAAAAGTTACTTCGAGTTTACAACGATTCGAAAGACCGTAGGGTGTCCACCTTTAACCGAATCACCCTATATATTTGAAACTAACTTTAACAAACTACAATATATTCGTACATTTCCATACAAAAATCAATCGAATAAAAAACTACCGAAATATAATATTTCGTTAAGCAAGCCCTCGTCTATACACATCAATAAATGTATACATATCGATATAACGATGTAAAATGTACATCGAGTCTGGCGCAATCGCTGCGAACGCCGCTGCAATCGATTTCGCCAAAAACTCCGTCATTTCGCCGCACTGCGCGGCGTCCGTGGAAGCCAACCGCGTTATACAGGGTGTCCCGAAAATGTCACGCAATCTGAAAGTGACGAGTTCCTCGGATCATTTGAAGCAACTTTTTCCTTTAAAAAAATTTTCTCCGAGGCACCGTTAACGAGTTATTAACGAAAAACAGTGACCAATGAAAGGCGAGCGCGGCTGGCGCGCGGCGACCGAGCCAATGAGCGGAACTGGGCTTCGCGCGCTGGTTGGCTGGACCGCCTCGCGTTGGCCGTACTCGATTCATATTGGTCACTGTTTTTCGTTAATAACTCGTTAACGGTGCCTCGGAGAAAATTTTTGTAAAGGAAGAAGTTGCTTCAAATGATCCGAGGGACCCGCCATTTCCGGATTGCGAGACATTTTTGGGCCACCCCGTATGTACATTCCAATCCGAGATCGTTGTGCGAAGTCGCGCGTGTACGCGAGACGCGACAACGGCGGTCGAAGCACCGGTTAAAAACAAGATCGTTCCGTGCGGGTTTGTCGCGACCGATCGCCGAGGACAACCGACGAAATCCCGAGAAGCGGCGCGAAGGTGTAGCCGTCGCCTTTGCCGGCTCGCAGCAAAGTGGTGCGCGCGGCTCGGCGACCGGCGGCGTTCGATCGCGTTCCGAGCGGTGCGGCGCGGAGCGAAGCGGCGCGGAGCGTAGTCAGCTCTTACCTGTTAAGGTCATCTCGTCAGATGATACGAAGCTCGACTTCTCCACGCATGGACATTACTCTCCCGGGGCCGTTGCTCTTGCTGCTTGCGATTCGTTTCGATTCGGGCTTAACGGCGAGCTGCGGCGACGCGGTTCTCGCGCTCGCGCGTCCTCCGATTTCCCGTCCGCGATCTTCGGTGTCTCCCGGCGGCGTGAGCTCCACCGGCTGCCCTCGCGACCGGCGGTCTTCCTCTTCCGACGACCTCTTCTACTCCTGACCCGTGGCACAGCACACCCTGCGCCACGAAATCTGACGGCAGGAGGCCCTGCTCCGGTCTAAAATCGTCCCGACACCGCACTCTCGGCTTCGTCGTTTTAACGAAACGCGCACATGCGCCGTCCGCCCGCGATTCCTGCTCTCCTACGCCTCTCTTCTTCCTCTTTCTCCCTCTTTCTATCTTTCTCCGTAGATCCGCGATGCGACGCGAGGCGACGCGACGCCGTGCGACGCGGCGCGACACACT